AAAAACAACATTGGTACGCCAGCTGAATGCCCAGTAACGGATGGACATCGTACCGGAGAGCAAACAGTCGGTTATTGTGCTGCAAAAAGTTATATTACGCCTAGCGAATGACATCGTGATTGGAGAGGGAGGCTAAGTAGAAGGTGAATGGACAAAGTAACTCACAACACAAACGCCATTGCGGCCGGCTCCTAGCCATATCATCAAGTGTGTCCAACCAAACGTGTTCATCGCCGTTAGGACCCCAGCCACGTAGTCGGGATGCACCAATCGACGCCAACTTCGAAGTGAGGGTTTGCAATTCTCTAGACCAAGTAATCGCTTGGCCTCCCCACCTCCTTTTCCAACTGCACCCGCGGCCCGCAAACAATGCACGTCGCGGGAGTCGGTGTGCTGGCATTCGCAACACGTGGCTCAGCCATCGGAGCCTAGTGCGTGATATAATGATGCTGAATGGTTCACTAGCACTCCCTGCACTAAATACGTGACGACGAACACGGTCAGTGTTCCCGCGGTGCTCCCACCAGATTTGAGCTAAGCTGCGAAGGCAGTGAGGATCGAACGTGACGAGCCTCTTTATGTCTGTTGATCTGATGGGTCAGGTTTCACAACCATATAGGACGACTGCGTTATATACTCTGCCCTTCAGGGCGAGAGTAATGTCGCGTCTGTGCCACAGGTGGCGGAGATTGGCAAAAGCACCTCGAGCTCTTGCTATATGGTTTGTAACCTTATCTGCAATCCCACGGGCGTTATTATAGCTGCCCATGTACTTGACTTCCTGAACGACTTTTAGCTTATCACCACAAAGCGTTAGCGCAGGGGTGGGTCCCTGCCAATCTTGGAGAAGTACTTTGCATTTCGATGGAGCAAAGCACAGCCCAAAACGACTGACAGCCTGTGCTAATCGGTCCAGTGCCGTTTGACATGTTTGGGGGCCGTCAGAGATTAGGGCAATATCGTCAGCGTACTCCAACTCAAGAAGTCGCTCACTGGGAAGTAGCTCCACACTTTCTAGGTCGTGTCCAGAAAATGCTGATTCTATGACTTCATCAACTGCGAAGTTAAATAGGAAAGGTGGCAGTATGCAACCCTGTCTCATACCACTGGTGATACTGTAGGGTGGCGACAGTTTGCCATAAACCTTCACTCTGCCCGAATTATGCGCACACAGCGCTTTGATAATGTTTGCGTATTTATTAGGCACACGTTTTCTTAGCAGACAGTCTCAAATGGTACATCGAGCGACTGAATCGAAGGCACCTGTTATATCAAGAAACACGACAACGGTGGGTAGCCAATAAACATGGCGGTGCTCCAACAATTGACGCAAGGTGAAGGTGTGGTCGATGCAGCCCCGAACTCGATGAAACCCGGCTTGCTCTTCATGAATCTGGGGATCACGAGTGCTAGTCAGTCCGTGGAGAATGACAGACACAAGCAATTTAGAGGCAATTAAGATCAAACTGATCCCTCTATGATTTGTGCATTCCGAACGGGAGTCTCCATTGAAAATTGGGACTACGACGGAGAGGCTCCAATCTGTCGGGACAGTCTCCTTCTCCCAAAGTTTCACTAGCAACTCGTGTAAATCATCTCCTAAAGCAGGTCCCCAAAATTTGAAGAGGGCTGGGGGAATTCTATCTGCTCCTGCGGCCTTATAAAATTTCAACAACCTGAGCTCACGTTCGACTTCTGCGAGTGAGGGCGGATCCAAGGAGATGGCCCAGGGAAAAGGGCGTCCAACGTCCGAGAAAAGCGATAAATCAGGTTGGTTAAATTACCTTGCAAAGTATTCGACCCAACGCGGCGTTTTGAGACGAAGTCTATAGGCAAGCCAGATATTCCGACGGAACCCATATTGGCTGTCGACAGCAAAGCGGACTGTCCACTGGAACGAGAGCATAATGATCACTTCTGCTGACGGACTGAGGACCTGTTAGATTGGTGACATCTGACTGAGTTGGGAAAAGCACAAGGTCCAGAATGTGCGGCATCCGGTCTGCGATGATTCAGGTTAGCATAGTGACATTATGAAACAGATTGCAATCGAGAACGGTCTCGATCGAAGTAACATCAAAGAAATCAGGTAGATGACCTCAAAGAACTAGGCCCCAATCGATAGAAGAGGCATTAAAATGCCCCACGGTAAGACTGTCCTTTCCTGCAGAGTGCTTCCTGATGGAATCGAACAGGTGAACATTGAAACCCGGTGGCGTTCTGTAGACGAAACCAATCGTAAAAGATCTGCATCCATAATAAACATAGTATTAGAAGGCATCGAAAGCACCATCATCGCTAGTAGCTTCAACCAAATTGGCCTTGATATCCGCCTTCCAGTAGAGTAGGACATCGCCACCGGGTCTTTCTACAAGGCGGTCTGTCAGACAAACTGTGTCATGAAATAGGCACCGAATTTACGATGTCCGGAAGTAGCCAAGTTTCGGTGAGGGCCATCATATCTGGACGAGTATCTGAAGCAAGCATCCAAATGTCATCAAGTTGAGTGCTCAGACTGCGTACATTGGAGGAAAGCACACGCATGTCCTGGGTTGAGGAGAACTGACCTCCAACGGGTTCTCGGGTTTTTACCGAATTACGCTAAAATTCACGATGTGGAGGTCAGCCTCGGCATTTGCCCGGCAAGATCGGAGCTCATTAACGGCGTTGTTCCATTTTATTCCTATCCACTGGAGCAACATCATTCAAGGCGTAAAACAGCTCACGTTTTAAATGTGGAGTTCGTTGGAGGATGCGCTGGCATTCTGCCTTTTGGCACATAATCTTGAGTGGGTGTATCTTGTAAGTATGCTCTTCCTTTCTATCCAGACGGGAGGTAAAGAAAGTGTTTATCCTAAGTCCACCAACGAATAAAATTGGAATCGTCCGCACAAGGAACACGATCATCCACCATCCTTTCCGCAGAGATGTCTTTGGTGGATCCTATCACGAGGATGGTAGGGTGCGGCCAGTGATCAGTGGCTGAGGTGGAGACTCAGCCTTTGATCGATTTTTCCAACTTGTTACTTCTGTCGAGAACCGATTTCATATTGGAATTGGAGGACGAAGACCTGAGTTCAGAATTGGACTTTGTCTGGATATTATACGCAGTTAGACTCCGATCACCTGGGGCAGTGGCAGTTTTCCTCATCACGAGTGCGTATGTCTCAGTCGCGGGCTCACTAGGCAGGATGTGTGTCAACGGCTCCGACTTGAGAAGCAGATGGAACACGGATTCGCTTACTCGCGGAGATGGCTGAGTCGACATTAGGTGTAGACGAGTGTTAAAAAACAAGACAGTCCCAGGGAGTGGGTGTTTTAAACTTTGTCGGAGTAAAATGAGGGCCCATGAATAGCAGTCCAGATTGAAGACGTCTACTGTTTAATGAAGTACGGAAGCGGTTACAAAAAGCAGTGATAGCCGAAGTGGTGTATCGTTGAAGAGGCTCATAATCCGGAATAACAGCGGACAATATGCAACCGCCCGTCGCATTCAGAGCACTGTACGGCTTTCGAACGCAAGGTCACACCTTTGCTGCAGTCTAGGCATTTGGAAGCCATAGCTAGACTTAGATCCAAAGTCCGAAAAAATAGCGGGGTCCAGTATGTATTATCCGGGAAACCCCTCGAAATAAATTAAAGGCAAAAACCTCACAAGAAACAAAAACTTACTAGTTCTGCAAATATAGCAGTGCAAATAGCGAAGATAGAATAACTTTCTCGATCAAGAGAATATTTGAAAATAATCAGCGATAATTAAAATTTCATTCTACATAGTGGTGAAAACCGTTTGGGCAAGTAATGGAACACAGTTGGAACAGTGGATTTTGCACTACTTTCCGAGTGGACTGATTAGTTTACAGACGTTCCGTTGCCAGACTAGGCAACATCATCAGCGCGGCTTCAGGGACCTGTTTCGTAGAGCCAAGCAAAGGACATCCATCGTGATTGTTTAACGGAAATACGCATCAAATGATAAAGTAACGCCGTTTTCTCACAAAAATGGCGTACATCCAGTTTGGAAAGCGCGTAGGTTGGAGTCTATAGTTAAATACTGACAAGATTTTTAAAAATTTTTGGAACATTATATCTAGGCCATGAGAAGTCATGATAGTTCTCGTAATAAGCAGGATAAATCTTAGTAGTAAACCGGGATTGAAACAGCCATATAACTTACGGGAGTCACAGGTGTAAGCCTACAAATACCGTCTAAAGTTTAGTCGATAGGAAAAACGGTACAGGTTGACTAAGCAGATGGCCAAGGACAAACAGGTGACAATGTCACGCTGCGCTGGAAGGATGGGTAGGTTCAATCAAGAGCCATGCGTTACAGTACTCCCCTTCAAACCGGCGATGGCCTCAGCGTTTCAGACTCCCTTAGCTGGTTTCAGTCTGTTGTAGTGTGACCGTCGAGGAACTAGGAGCGCCAAGCCTCATGATTCAAAATCAGATCTGATAACACTTCATCCACGACGGACGGTAATTCCTAGTTTCGACGAAGCATCGCAGGGACGCTGTTGCTAGCGCTACATTATGCCAGACCATATCATCAACCTCAAACGGACTTCCGAAAGCCTTCCGGTCAAAGCCAGCGTTCTGGTGGCGCTGTGCTGTTCGCTGATGCGCCTGTGCCAACTGGTGGCCTCCTAACAAACTCAACTGTAAACGAAGCATATGGTCCGATGCGATTAGACATTCATCGTATGACATTGTTAGCAGAGTATCCGAGGGCAGGCGCAGCTCACGACATCAGGAGGCGTGGTGCTTGACCGGCTGATGAGTGGATAGACGCTCGGTAGGCGAGTAGGAATTTAGGTAGGGCCGTGTAAGTCGCTAAGAGGGCTCTGCGGAACAGGCCCTCGAAGCCGCACTGATAATGTTACCTAGTCTAGCAATGAAACGTCTAAAAACTAATCATTAAGCTCAGAGAGTATTGCAGAGCCTACATCTACATCCCGAGCTACTGATACTACGACTATTTCAAGCTGGGACAAATGTACCTGGGCACAAGGAAAGCGCCAAAGAGTGAAATCCGGCAGGATAGGTAACACTTCTACTGCATGCACATTCGGCTTGCTATAATGCTTTGTGATTGGTTTCTTGGCCGCTTGAAAAGTGGCTTCAATGGCCGAGATTTGACTTTCGCGATCCCGGTATACGATTTCTTCATTCAGATGTCGTTTGACGCTAAATCCAAGTCTAATGGAAGTAACCGGGTTCATATAAGACTAACTTGGATTCGACTTTATCAGATTTGTTCCAACGATTGTAAAGTTCGGTGGAAATATATTCCGTTCTTCGGAGCCAGGAAACAGACTTATGGTGCCGCGATTTACGAGCATTAATCGCCGCAGGAGTATCATCCTCCAACAACCTTTCGTCATCAGGATGTAGTCTAACTAATAAAGCCGAATAATTTGAGGTACAATGCAAACCAGATTTGTCGATTTTGAAGATATCTGGATCGACCAAGTCAACCTCGACACCGACATCGACTTCTGTCAGCAACTCATGCTTATAATTTCTTTCCAAAGATGTGGCCACATATTGTACGAACCTATGACAATGTATGGTATAAAATTAGGAGACCTTGATGGTTCTAATGGGTAGGAGAGAAATTTCGGATCAAAGGGTAGCTCCGGTAGCGTGTTTCGGTACTTAGGACGACACAGTAGAGACTCACATCTAAGCGACGTTGCATAACATTTGAGCACAAGTTATGAACCTCAGTTCCTTTAGTCGTTCCTGTTGGTATTCTTCACTATTATCCTCAGCTTTGCGAACAGCTTGAGACAACGTCATTGGGAGAAATCGAGGTGCCTCCCTAACAGAGCCCAAGGTCAGGTCAGGTCAGGTCAAACGGACGATAGAAGCTCCGCCTAACGAGCGTCCAGTACTTGTGCTGGTAAGTGAAGCGAACCCAAACACTTCGGCGTTGGATCGTCACGTCTTGCTTCTGCAATGGAATGAAGCAAGAACAAGAGCAATATTTGCACTTCATATGCCAGCATCAAGATCAGGCCAGATCAGTTCAGACGATAGCGCAATGTTGCGATAATCTGTAGCGTGTAAGTTCAAATTCTAATAATAGATGAGAATCATTCCTTTACTCTAAAAATTTGTTGAATCTTTTCCAATAAACAATTATATGGTACCTTTTGATTTTCCACCCTTAAACTTGTTCACTATGCAGTTAGATTCAGGTTCAAATTCAGATGGACTAGAACGATAGGAAAAGCCCTTACGTGTTCCTACGTGAACAAATCGTTGAGCCAGGACATGCTAAGGTACTAGGTCTTGACTGAGCCAAAACGAAACACTAGAAACACACCCTGGTCAACCAATTACTACCCACGCTCCCCGCACTTGCAGTCCTGCTGTGTAGGTTACGTGGAACAAGAAAAAGTAGTAAGTAAATAGAAGATAATGGAGAATGAAAGCCATTTAAATGAATTATAACACCAAAGAGTGAAGAGAATGACAGAATAAGAACTAAAGGTTTAAAAATGGATATGGTCAGGAGATTGGAAAGGTTGCATGTTGCCACCCAAAAGCGTCTAACTGACGCTCGAAACCCTTAACCGTAGGTTCACTGACTACACTTTCTGGAAGAGTTCCAGCGTTCGATAACTACGCGATAACCGAGTTTCCGCCCTGATACCGTCAGAACGCTGCTTGTGTAGCTTCATGGGATGACCGTGAAGACAAGCAACCTAGCCGGGCTAAATAGCCAGCTCAAGTCCCGTTCAACTTTCCCTGCTGAGGTGCGTTCAGTAAGGATTAGGTCCGCTCGAAGCCTTCGGTATTGCATTGAATACCTACCCAAGCTGAGTAGACGCTCCGGGTATGATTGCCCCCAGAACCCCGCAACCGATTTGATAACTACTCTCAAAACCCTGTCGAGCTCCATTTTGTCCCGAACAAGGCAGGGCGCGCAAGCCTGGACGCAGTATTCCAGATGGGGCCGAACGAAAGCTGAGAACAGCTTCACAAGGATGTCGGCAGTTAAGACCCCAAACGAACGGCGTATTAACCACAACATCCTGGTACCCTACTAGCGGCCTTATTCCAGTTGTCTCCAGACTGCAAAGACGAGGAATGGAGCACGTTTAGGTCTACCTGGTTGGAGACAAGTGGAGTTCAACCTCACCGAGTATGTAGCTCGAAGGTGGGAAAGTTGCTCTCATACACTTAGCCTGATTAATGGGCAGTAGCCACAAAGTAGACCAGTCCCAGGTTTTTCATGGCATGCTGTATGGCCCCAGAACCCCCAGGAACATTTACGGCATTGCATAGCCCATGGCCACCAGTAAACAATAGGGATGATACCCCAAGCGCTCCAAGGAGATAGGTTACGTAGACGGAAAACAGCCTCGGTCCAATGACCGAGCCCTTTGATACACCGCTAAGGACCGCTTGCCTAAAGGATAAGCTGCGACCCACACGTACACACTGCTCTTTTCCCTGCAAGAAGGCAGATACCCAGTGAAGGGCGCGGCCAGATACGCCGTAGGAGCTCAGCTTTTGTGATAGCCTCAAGTGGGGTACCTTAGCAAATGCTTTCGAAAAGTCTACGAAAAGCACATCCGCTACGTGGCCATTGTTCACTGCCTCGGCCCAAGCTTCTCGATAAACCAACAAATTCGTCAAACACAAAAACCCCTTCCGGAATCCATGTTGTGCACTACTGAGTAGACTAAATCTATTCAGGTGACATTCCAACGAATCTCACCAGCTTTTCAAGTAGTTTGACCACGACGCTAGTCAGACTAACTGGCCTATAATTGGCTGACAGACTCCTGTCGCCATTTTTGAAGACAGGACAGATGACAGCCTCCTTCCATTCGGAAGTTAATGTACAGCTGTCAAGTGATTTCTGAAACCATCGTCAGCGGTCCACTCAGTTCCACCGCCAACTCATGCAGAAGCTTTGGTTGAATAGAATCAGGTCCAGCTGCTTTGGAAGGGTTCAGTTCTTGCAGCAGTTTAAGGACTTGCGTTTCTACCACAGTAAACTCAGCTAAATAAGAACCCTCAGGTACTCTGGGGACAAGTTCAATGCTAGTCAACGTGGCCTCACGTACAAAAGCCCCTGCATACTGGTCCCCAAGTACACGTGCCTTATCTGAGTCCGCATACACACGAGTTCCATCGGCAAGCATCAAAGTTGGGATTACCAAAATTGAACCACAGCGTCTCTTAACGTAAGCGAAGAACTTCGGATTTTCCGAAGCTCCATCAGCCAATTCCTTTTCGTACACCAGCCGAGCTTTCCTTAAGTGTTGTTTACACCTATTTCTAGCCTCACGGTATCTATCATAGGTGCTAGTTGATAGTGCCGCACGGTAGGTCCTCCAGCACCTAGGACGCTTTTGGAGCAGGTATTTGCCAGTGGTATCTATCTACGGCGGCCGCGCTCGTGTATCCTTTCTCCTTGCAAGCGGGATGTAGGATGTAGACGCTTCCGTGAGATACCATTTAAATTTATCCCAGGCTGCCTGAACTCTATGAACCACCGAGATTTCCCAACGCAACCCAGAAGCCTTGATACGCATTGCCTGGTAGTTAGCACACCATAGGTTTGGAAATGGCTTAGCAATGCTCTGATGACGCCTGGTCAGAGTACACCTGAGCGATACACAAACCTGATCACTGGCACCTAAGGTAGAGCTGTAAGTGATGTCCTCTACGAAGGCTATTGATTTGGCAAACACTAGAGCCAAAATAGACGGGTGTTGGTCATCCACCTACCTTGTGGGGATGTCCATGTAATAATGCAACCGTAGTTGTTGCGTAAGCTCAAGTAGATCTGCACCGGAAGTACCTTCCGCCGAGTTGCAAGAACGTTCTGCCCAGCATACTTCTGGTAGATGGAAATCCTCCAGTAGCGAACACCTGTTTGCGGATTGGGAGCGAATAAAGTCAAGCACCTCTTCGGACGCACTCCAAGGGCTTCTATACACACGTACAACTGGAAGTTGAACTGAGGAAGGGACAATAACTACCGACAGCGCTTCGACAGTGTTATCTGCTGACTGAAACATGTCGGTAGGTGAAACGTCGAGTGCACGTCTAACGTGAAGTGCAACGCTCCCGTCTTGGCAGCCAACGATGCGATCGCATCTAAATACTGCGTAGCCAGACAGATGTACTTCACTGTCCCTGATGTCCCAAGACAGCTACATTTCAGTGCATGCAAGTATATCGGGGTGTGACCCATCTACAAGCAGACCTAGTTCGCACCTCTTGCTCCTTAGGCTGCGCACATTTCCCTATCTGAAGGTATTCGTAATATCCAGCCCTGGGTCGTGCGCTACCAGTACTGCCACTGGTAGGGCGGAAACAGGCCGCCGGCTGACCACCCGAAAACTCACCAACTTCAGCCATTGTACACCGGCCACTTGCCTGCGTTTGAGGTCCTTAATGGCCTCTTTTAGCTTCAGCCTATCCGGTAATGGGATGTTTGGTTAAAGCTAATATTAGTGCCCTTCAATTTGATGGCAAACCGCAACAGCGCGTTGCGTTCCTCCGGGATGGATAGGACTATCCGAAGTAAGCACGGTCGAGAGTTTGGGGCGTTAACTAGGACGTTACCTCATATAGTCAGTTTCCTGACAGTAACACCGGGAAACCCAGGCGAAAGGGGCTTCAGTACGCATATCCTAAACAACTGCAGGTCGTCCAATGTACGATCGGCAGAGAGTGAGGCGGTGGATTCCAATGCGTTAGGGAATATCACGCTGCTATCTATGAAAGAAGCACCTCGACGGGGTGTATTTATAAAACGGGTTTTGGAATTTACATGAACAACAACCGTCGTAGCCGCAGGCAAGCAGATTGGGCGCAAGTTATCCGACGACGTTTAAGCAACTGTAGCGTATGGCTTACGCCCCAGCTTGCTCGTCCCGTCATTCTTGACGCTTTCGTACCTGCCTGAAGTGTAGGGGCAGTTCTGTTCCGATTACTCTTTTGTCCTGCAGGCGAAGAAGCCCGTGGCCCAACCTACATGCCCGCCTCCATGACCTGTGCTCCCGAAAGACAGAACGAGGTGTTTGGAGTAGGCACGGCAGTTTGAGCCGCTAGCGATGGGGACATCGGTGGTATTTTCACCCCTGCATGCGCAACCTCAGGGGGAACTGGGGAAACTTCATCACCAGGTGGTGTTTCCAGCTCAGGCGGTTGCATCTTGAGCGACTTCTCACCTCCCGGTATTGGTGCGGAGGGTTTGCGCACTTTTCTTGCCCACTTTCGCTTATGCTTTTCTGGCTCAGGAACCTGTGATTCGCCCTCTGTTTGTGGAGGGTCAAAAATGCCGTCCGAGGCATACGAGTCAGTTATATCAATGTGTGCCGGAGCCTCCGGTAACATGAACGACCCATCAAGGCTGGACTGTCAGCAGGAAGCAGTCGGCTACAGGGTCCTCATTTGCAATACGCAGGTACTTCAGAACCAAGTCCACTTTAGAATTGATCGAGGCGAGCCCGACTAACGTCATCTCACTCACTCACTATGCGGTTAAATAAAAGAACACAATTTGCTATTGCATAAAGAAGTGCTTCGTTGAGATGGATGCTAGTGGTAGGCGGACGTCTTAGGTAAATAGACATTGTCATAGTGTAACCTGCGCGTGTATATGGTTGCAAACCGCGTAATAGGATTATAAACTGTGCTCCCACGGCCCTATTCGGGGATATTTCATTGTGTTCATTGAGTGGTAGAGAGCACAAGAGCTGTCCCATTTCAGCCCCTTCGCTTCCCCATCTTCCAAGAATTGCAGGCGTGGTAGCTATGGCAGAGCTCAGGATGTATTTTCCGTCCTGCAGTATCCTGGATTACTCAGTGGAAAGTTGTCTAGCAAACGTTTGAAACTCGCTTCTGACTAGG